CCCCCGGTGTCCTTACCGAAGCAGAAGACGACTCTCATGTGGTCCTGCTTGGCCATCCCCAGCATGGGCAGCATCGTTCCCAGGATGGAGGTGAGGAAGGGCACCATCCCAAAGACTACCAAGGGAAGAGGAGAGAAGCGACAGCGACAGCAGCCTTCAGCAAAGCGCTCTGGCGGGCGGGCTCTCTTGCCTCTGCTCCACATGCACGTGGCCGCCTCCGTGGGCCACGCAAGGCCACTGCCCTGCCCACACCACCAGAGCTGCTTCCCTCCTGTCAGGGTCCTTAGTCAGGTTTCGCAACACAGGGCTTCAGGAGAAGATAACTGTTTATTGGTAAATCCAGTCCTAGAGACACGTGTACAGCTTGTGTCAGGAATGGCTGCCAATACGAGGGCCTCTGACTTTTAGTAGAATCAAACATCCAACACATACCACCTGGCTAAACAAAGTTTGGGATCACCTTATATTAGAAAAAACCACTGACCGTCTACTTCAATCAGACATCAGTCCTAAATCATCCAATTTTACGGAGAAATGGACCCCATTCATGGAATATATCTCTGCTTCGGATTCTCAACCCCAAAACTCTTTATACTTAAAATTACTAGACTACTAAACTTTACCTCCTCGACCATACTGCAATGCCTAGTTGTGACACTGTTATGATATAATTGAATGGGACACACGCTATTACTTCTTTGCATTGGCTCATTTTTATATTTACCTAAACACAAGGGTTATAGGTACTAAATTGAGTTTGTTGACAACAAAGTAAAAATACTAGTACTATATTGTTTTGCAAACTGTTTATGCTGTTCTGTAAGTTTAATACTACTGACTATTACTTACTTTTGAGAGAAAAATTAATAAAAATTATTTAACATAAGAACATAAGAGACGCCAATGTTGGATCAGGCCAAAGGCCCATCCAGTCCAACACTCTGTGTCACACAGTGGCCAGAAATACCAGTGCCATCAGGAGGTCCAGCAGTGGGGCCAGGACATTAGAAGCCCTCCCACTGTTGACCCCCCCCCCCAAGCACCAAGAAGACAGAGCATCATTGCCCCAGAGCCCCTAGCTATACCTTGTGGCTAATAGCCACTGATGGACCTCTGCTCCATATGCTTATCTAATTCCCTTTTGAAGCCATCCATGCTTGTAGCACCCACCACTTCCTGTGGCAGTGAATTCCAAGTGTTAATCACTCTTTGGGTGAAGAAGTACTTCCTTTTATCCGTTCTAACCCGACCGCTCTGCAGTTTCATGGAGTGCCCACGAGTTCTTGTATTGTGAGAAAGGGAGAAAAGTACCTCTTTCTCTACCTGCTCTTTCCCATGCATAATCTTATAAACCTCGATCATGTCACCCCTCAGTCGTCTTTTCTCCAAGCTAAAGAGCCCTAAGCGCTTTAACCTTTCCTCATAGGGAAAGTGTTCCAACCCTTTTATCATTCGAGTTGCCCTTTTCTGCACTTTTTCCAAAGCTATAATATCCTTTTTAAGGTGTGGTGACCAGAACTGCACACAGTATTCCAAATGAGGTCTCACCATTGATTTATATAGGGGCATTATTATATTGGCTGATCTGTTTTCAATACCCTTCCTAATAATCCCCAGCATAGCATTGGCCTTCTTTATTGCAGTCACACACTGTCTCGACATTTTCAGTGAGTTATCCACTACAACTCCAAGATCTCTCTCTTGCTCAGTCTCTGCCAGTTCAGACCCCATCAATGTGTATTTATATTTAGGATTTTTGGCTCCAATGTGCATCACCTTGCACTTGGCCACATTGAACCCCATTTGCCATGTTGACGCCCACTCGCCCATCCTTGACAGATCCCCTATTTTTAAAATTATTTTTTAAAAAAACACCATCCCCCCTGGTAAGCATGAGCCAATGGATACAGTTTGCGCACGGGTGGGCAAAGCAAACAGGCAAAGCAAAAGCCGTTAACTTTCCCAGCCAAATAATACTGCAGCTGGAACATCTACAAGGTCAAGCATAAGAGAACATACAGCTGGTGAGCCAGGGAGAGCTGAGACCGAAAAGGGGAGGGCACCCCTCCACATTCCAGACCCATGATGGGGCTACCTGACACCTCCGGAGGGTCACAGCCCAGCCCCGTGCCCCAACCACACCCTCCCCTGAGACGCCCCAGAACGCCGGGGCTCCAAAGCCTTGGCTCCCACCTGCCGCCGTCCCACTCAGCACTTGCAAGAACCTCCAGCACAACGGCCAGCGGCTGCCGGCCCAGGGTTGGAAAATGGAATTCACTGCCAGGGGATGGGCGGGGTGGCCACCAAGGAAGCCTCAGGTCGCGATACAGAGGCAGGCCATGGCCAACCACCTCTGCCCTTCTCTGGCCTTGAAAACCCTACGGGGTCACCAGAAGGCGGCTGCGACCTGGTGCCCCTCCCCCCCCACCTCTCTGAGACAGCAGCCTCCACATTTAGCCGGCTGTCCCTTCCGGCTGCCAGTCCCCGTACCACTGTTGCCCTACGGGCACCAGGAATCTCCTCTGCCCCAACAAGGGCCCAAGTCCAATACCTGGAAGAGCACTGCCCCCCCCCGGCCTTCTGCCCTTGGGAGTTGGCCTGCAGAGTCCCCCCTGGTCCCCCATCCACGAGCCCATTCAGGACACCTCCCTCCTCTGGTCCGAAGGAAGCCTAACCCTAACTCCCCCCCCCAGCAGCAGCAGCCGCCCAGACGGCACGAGGGCCCTGCAGGAGGGCCCATCATCCCTCAAGCCTGCCTCCGAGGGGGGGGAGGGATGCTGCGCCACCCCCCTCCTGGCTCCAGGCCCCTCCTCGGGGTCACTCACCGACCAACCGGCCCGCCCAGCTCACGGCCCGCGCAGCCGCCACCTACCGTTTGCCACAGAGAGGTTGGCAAAAGTCCGGACGACAAAGTAGTGGGGCAGGACGCCCGGCTGGAACTTGGTCAGCACCTCCTCCATCACCTTGTTGACGAAGCGCCTCCCGACCGCCACCAGGACGTTGCTGGCCGCCTGCTGCCACTCCGAGACGACGTCCTGCATGGAGGAGAAGGAGGCAGAGCCTGCAGCCTGCACGGCCCCACGGCAGGAGGTCGGGGCCGGGGCAGTGGGGAGGGGGGGCTCCCTTCCCCAAATCGTGCCCCCCCTCCCTGGGCTGCGAGGGGCCCTGATCTCCCCTTTCAGAAGAAGCTGAGGCCCACCGTTCCCAGTGCCAGAAGCGGCCCTCAAGGAGTGCAGAGAGCCACAGCGCATACCTTGGACTTGGTCATCTCGTTGGACGCCACGAAGATGACGATCTTGGCCGTGCTCTGGTCCATCTGCGAGAGGCTGCTCCTCACCACGGCCTCCATGGCCCTCAGGATGATGACGCGGTGCGGGTACGCCAGCTGGGGGGGGAGGGAGAGAGTGGGAGGAAGTCAGCGCCGGCCCCCGACCTCAGGCACAAGACCCCAACGACAGGACCCACCCACACTCAGGGGGGCACGAGCCACAGGGAAGCCTTCTTGGCACTCCCGAGCATTGAGAGCAGGGGTGTTGGACTCATTTGTTACGAGGGCCAGATCTGACGTAAGTGAGACCCTGTTGGGCCGGGCCATGTGCGTGTCATAAAACGTAATGCCCGGTAGCAGAGATATATAAACTTTACAAAGGACACAAACCCAAAGGATTTTTTTTGGTACTTAAAATAAAAAACATGCTTAAAACATCAGCACTCTTGCAGTATTTTGCTTATTTCACGGTGTCTGATAGCTGACACCTCTTGCTCGGAATTATTGCATCAAAATGTACAATGTACAATGGTACAGAGGCTGCTGCGATCTTGAGCCTGCTGTTCAGGTGTGTGTCTGTAAGCTGCAAACCTACGATGACGCAGCAGCAGCAGCAGAACTGGAAGAAGCCCCCGAGGCGCATGTTTGACACCCCTGATTTAGAGTCTGCGAAGGAACTGAAGGAAACCTGTTCACCTCGGCTCCAGGCAGGCTTCGATGAATTTTCTTGGACTCTAGGAGCTGCCTCCAAAATCTAGGAACCAGACTAATTGTCCAGCCTTCAGGGTTTTTGTTTGAATGTCTAAATTTTCTAGCTACCACTATTAGAAAAGCCAATCCTAACCTCTTCAGTATCTTCTAATTTTCTTAGTTACGGTAGCAGAGGTCACCCTGAATGTCAGCTCCCCGACAAAAAGCCAACCTCCGTGGCCCCTTCCAACTCGGTGATTCTACAGTTCCCTCGTCCCATGTGGCCAGCATGACTAAACGCCGAGGCGCACGGAACGCTGTTACCTTCCCATCCGAAGTGGTACCTATTTATCTACTTGCAATTTCTTGCTTTCAAACTGCTAGGTTGGCAGGAATTCCCGGGCACTGTGGAAACCTGGCGCCTGGGATGTGTCAAGCCCTGGCTTAAAGCTCAACAGCAGAAATATGGGTGGGGGGTGAGAAAAGGGGCAGACTACCCACAGGGAGAGGAGCTGCGGTGGCTCAAGTGGTTAAGATGCTGAACTGCAGGCTGTGGAAGGTCAGTAGTTCAGCAGTTCAAGACCTGAGTTGCCGCATGACGGAGTGAGCTCCCGTCTCTAGTTCCAGCTCCTGCCAACCTAGCAGTTCAAAAGCAAGGAATTGCAAGTAGATAAATAGGTACCGCTTCGGTGGGAAGGTAACAGCGTTCCGTGCGCCTTGGTGTTTAGTCATGCCGGCCACATGACCACGGAAGCGTCTTCGGACAGCGCTGGCTCTTCGGCTTTGAAACGGAGATGAGCACCGCAACCCTAGAGTCTCCCACCCTCTTTCTTCTGTGGCCCAGCACAGCCTGTGTTTTATCTTTCAGACGAGGGGAGGAGTCCTGTGCCCTGCTGCCCTCCCCAGCATCTGCCCTCAGCTTCTGCACCCGTGCCAACCACACGCAAGCGTCACGCTCCAAAGCAAGACCATTCCCCCCCCCCCAGTCACCCGGCCTGTGGGACGTCACCTTGTCATGCTGCCGCAGGTATTCCTCACAGGCGTTCAGGACCTCTTCGGGTTCTGCTTCCCCCAGGTAGCACAGAGCGCTGAAGATCTGCTCGTGGACCAGCGGGTCCTTGTCCGTGGTGGCATCCATCAGAGTCACTGCCAGCCCTGGAAGGGAGAAAGGGATGGATGCCGCAGGCGCACTGCACCCAGGAGGCACCCCACCTCCACCGGCTGTGAAGCAGCTCCCCTTGGGCCAGTTCTCCAGCCCCACATCACATGCTCTTACTACCTGGATGCCGTAAGGAATCCTCCCAGGAAGCAAGAATTCACCCCACTATAGCACCCCCACACACACACACGCTCCAAGCCCCCAGAGAGCCACCTGACTACCCCTTGGACAATGCCAGCCAGTGCAGCCCCCTACGCTGGTCCTCCCCCTAGCCTGGGAGCAGCCTCCACACTTGGGTCCCCTTTGGATTCTTGCAGAGATCAATCACCAAAAGGGACCCGACAGCTCCTGAGTTCTTCTTCCCCAGCACGAGAAGTCAATGCCCCTCTTAAGGAGGCCGAGCATCCCCCCACCTTAGGAAGTCCCTCACATCAGCCAAGAGAAAGCAAAGCCCCAAAGTGGGGGAGGCCTCCTCACACCAGGAGCCTGACCAACCCACGGCCTACCAGGCTTCGGCGCAGCCTGGGAACAGGAGGCTTGGCGGGGAAGGCCTTGGGGTCAGGGGAGAACAGTTCAAGCTGCCAACAGTGTGTGAGAAAACACGGTGCTTTCCCGCATGCAGGTGTGCCGTTCAAGTCAGCTCACCCAGGGAAGAGAGTGCAGGAAGGCCAGCAGGTCAACAGCAAAGTCTGGACGGTCTGTTCCCTTAGCCTGCTCTGCTGACAACCACACCCCAAGGTTTACCGGGGCTGGCAAATAAGGCCTTAGGCAACATCCCAGAAGCCTGAGACTCAAGGCCAACGCTCCCTCTAAGCTGTGGAGTCCTGTGAGCAAAAACTCTACTTTGTGAGCTACTGGCATTAAAGTTGTGAGCGAGCCATTTGGCTGCTGCATGAATTAGCTTGCTCTTCTGGAGCCCCATCCTTCCCGAGCTGAGACAAAAATGTGTGAGCTGGAGACTAAAAAAATGTGAGCTAGCTCAAACTCACTCAGCTTAGAGGGAACACTGACCCGAACGAAAGAAAAGTGAAGAGAACGTTAAATATTTATTAAGTTTCTTCATGGGAGCCAAAAGGTGCGGTGGTGGTGGAAAACCCCATTAACTTGTGGTAATCCTATAGAGGTTTGTTTTTTTAAAATTGAAATGTTTTTAATTTTTTTCCAAAGCACAACAGAGCATAGTATTTTTGGGAGATTTTTTCATAAATTCACACCACCCTTTTTCCCCCTCTGCATAGCAGCCTACTGGACTTCCTTGGTGGTCTCCCATCCAAGGGCTGACCAGAGCTGACCCTGCTTAGCTTCTGAGACCTGAGGAGATCGGGCCATCCAGGTCGGGGCAACCAGAAGGCAGCTCTAGCAAAAGCGAGAAGAAGACCTGGGGGCGCACGTGTCGCTTGTCCTCCAGCAGTATTAGAAGAGAGACCCAAGAACCTCCCGGGACATTAAGAAAGCACAAAGAGCCACGCTGGACCACACCAGTGAGCCATCCAGTCCAGCCTTCTGTTCACACAGCGGCCTTCTTGACTGAATCGATCCATCTCATGTTGGGTCTTTCTCTTCCTGCGGCCTTCCGCTTTTCCTAGCGTTATTGCCTTTCCCAGTGACTCTTGTCTTCTCGTAATGTGGCCAAAGTACGATAGCCTCTGTTTGGCCATTTTGGCTTATAGGGAGGGTTCAGGTTTGATTTGATCTAGAGCCCATTCATTTCTGGCAGTTCACGGTATCAGTTAACGTTCTCCACCAACACCATATTTGAAATGAATCAACTTCCTTCCTTGGTGCAGAGGTAAAGTGCACGGTTAGTGGTGTCGTGGTTAAGTGCGCGGACTCTAAGCTGGGAGAACCGGGTTTGATTCCCCCACTCCTCCACTTGCACCTGGCTGGATGACCTTAGGCAAGCCATAGTTCTGATAAAAGCTGTCCTTGAAAAAGAGCCGTTTCTGTCAGAGCTCTCTCAGCCCCACCCACCTCACAGGGCATCCGTTGTGGGGAGGGGAAGGGAAAAGAGTTTGTAAGCCGCACTCAGACTCCGAGTGAAGGGCAGAGTACAAATCCAAACTCTTCTTCTACTTTCCAGTTCTCTTCACTGTCCAACTTTCATACCCATACATAGTAATGAGGAATACTATAGTGCGAGTTATTGTTGGGTATTACAAGTTGAAAACACTCAATGTATCTGGGGTTAAATGTTTGTTTGTGTTGCTCACAGGAAGTCACATGTGTTTCATGTAACCAATGGTGTTTTAGGAGTACAAGCCTGGGAATTTTCTCCCTGATCTAGGAGTTTGATTGGGAGGAAAGTGTCAAAGTGTTTTAGCATTTTATGGCTCCTCTTCCCGTCTTTGTTTGCTGTTCTCAAGAAGAAGAAGAGAGAGAAGCCATAACGCCTCTTCTAGTCTTGTCTTTTGTAGTGTAAGGATGTGGCCGTTTAGCTCCGTTGGTATTTTCATCCCAGTTACCCTTCCCTATGCTAGAATTTAGTAAAAACTTTATATTTTAATCACACATGGACTCTTGAGTCTGAATTATTTTACTCTGGCACTGCTAAGCTATTTTATCTCTGCTAAATACAATTTTTCTCAATCTCAAAAACCCAACAGTTATACTATAGAATAGTATAGAATACACCCCAATGTTAAAATCTTCAAGACTATACTCTGTGCATGCTTAGGAAGCCAGATGCAAACTCGTACCAGGCAGAAAGGAGGGCACTGAAGAAAGGAACCATCAAGCTCCCAGCAGAGAGCACTCAAGAGTTTGGTTATGCTAATGACCCTGGCTGAAGAAGGACAAGAGTTTACCACCCCACACCCAAAGGGACAGAAGGAGACAGCCAAATTGCTAGAATTAATTATCTTGCTTTAGTTGACAGGAAAATCAAAATGACCCTAAGGTGGGGATGGACTGCCTCAGGACATGGAGAAGCTCTCTTCCGTCTTATGGCTTCTGACCAGGGAGGTGCAGGCCATGAAGGCTTTTGCTTTCACCAAGGAACTCCACCTTGTCTGCATGGCCAAGGACAATGGGGAGAAGCCCCAAACATGAGAACTAAAGTAAAACTGAATTTTAACTATTATAACTCCAAGTAATATTAGCCTGTCCTATTTAAACGTTGTTTAGGATAGGTACTGAGAACAGGGGAAGAAAAATGCATGTTTCCACCTTTTCTTTGTTCCCTTGCTCAGCACAAAATGCTTGAACAGACCTTGTGTAATATTTTTATTCCTTTAATAAACTGTCTTATATTTTGGATGCTCTAAGCCTGCTCTCTGGAAACACACCATGTCTATTTGCTCTTGCTATCCGCAGTAATGGAGAGGGGCATTAGGTAAGATCACCATTCCTGGTGCACGATTGCTTGAAATCCTGAAGTTGTGATCAGTGTTCCCTCTAAGTTGAGTTAGTGTGAGCTAGCTCGCAGTTTTTTAGCCTCCGGCTCACACATTTCTGTCTTAGCTCAGGAAGGATGGCTCCCGAGCAAATTGATTGATGCAGGAGCCAAATCGCTCGCTCACAACTTTAATGCCAGCAGCTCACAAAGTAGAATTTTTGTTCACAAGACTCCACAGCTTAGAGGGAGCATTGGTTGTGATAGGTCGCCAAGATTTTTGCTTGTAGAAGTGAAGCCGGAGGCACAGCAGCCAGGTGGAGCCTCTGAACAACAATGCAGGCACAGAATGGTAGGCTTGCAACTCTACTTAGCAGGAGATACTGAGTCACTGGTGGCTGTGGGTGATACCCAGTTTGTTTTTTGCACACCCTGTGAAGGAATGCATTTTCTCCTGGGAGGCTGGCAAGCAGAAAAACCTCCAATTGGCATTTTAAAAGGTTTTTTTCCCTTCTCTCTGGGCAGAGAACTGGCTGGCAAGGAGGAAGTCCATCAATAGCTTCCCAGGCCCACCTGTTAAGAGATGCTAATGGCCCAGCAGGAAAGACAAAGGGATGGTCAAGCCTCCCCCTCCTTCTCCCCCCTTCTCCAGGCAGGGAACAGAGATTGGAGGACTTTGGGCTAGAACAGACCCAGAATAATCTCCAAGAAGGGGGTGAAGGAAACACTTCTTTGACATGGGCTGACTGAGGGTCAAGTGGGAGGGGAACCAGAGATGACAAAATCTCAGAGCAAAAGGAAATAGGTCTCTTCCTTTGGGATGCTGCATTGAGGGTAACTCTGAGCTGTGGTCTGAAAGCAGGCGACCATTAACCATGTGGTTGGACTGGACATCTGAAGCAAGCTGGAACGTTATGACAACTTTGTGTAGACCTGTAACTTCCAAAGCTAAAGAGCCTGTCCTATTTTAACAGCTGGTAGGGCGTGTACAGAGGGAGGGACAGCGAATTTGCGTTTTTACCTATTTCCTTTGGGATTCAATCTGTTGTTGTGCTAAAAGTATGCTTATAAACATTTTCTTTTAATACTTTATAACTTTTGATGCTGGGAGCAGTTCTCTGTACCACATAGATGTCCACCGTTTTGGACATGCTATATATTAAAAGGGGCTCTGGAGGGCTGGCACGTGGCTATTCCTCCAGGGACACCTAAGGCAGTAAACTGACCCTGTGGTCAGTGTTCCCTCTAAGCTGAGTTAGCATGAGCCAGCTCACGGTCTTTTAGCCTCCGGCTCACACATTTTTGCCTTAGCTCAGGAAGGATGGCTCCAGAGCAAACTAATTGATGCAGCTGCCAAATCGCTCGCTCACCACTTTAATGCCAGGAGCTCACAAAGTAGGATTTTTGCTCACAAGACTCCACAGCTTAGAGGGAACATTGCCTGTGGTGACCGGATGCTGGGCAGGGGGAGGCACAGAGGCAAGGCCTCAGAATATGGAAGGTAAGCTGGGAGTCCTGTCCCTCCCAGTGGCCAATTTCTCGAGAAAGGGCAGGTGATGGTGGCAGCTACCCTAGAGAGAAAGAAAAGTCCCTTCAGGAAGTCGGGAACCTCTAGGAGGGCAGGGTGGAACGGGGCCTGCAGGCTACATCTGGCCAGTTCTGCCA